ATGTTTATTTGCCTCTAAGTCTATTTGATTACCACAACTATATTGTTGTTTGTACTCTAGGCTATTTTTCAAGTAACATTTCAGAATGTGGCATATTAAGTATATATTTTTAAAGTAAACAGCCTAGTAAATTTTTTAGTTGTTTATAATACCCTATTTTTCCCAGATTGCCCATGGGGCCAAAGATTTTCCCCCATGGCACAAAAGAGGTTCAAACCTCTGAATGGTTTTATCCACTAAATATCTCTACCTAAACCAACTCTATCAAGAAAAGTTATACAATGATGACTTTCTAATTCTGTCTTCCTTCCATATTTATTGAATGGAATTCTCCTCATCAACTAGGGCTATTGGGCTACTCTGAAATAAACTTTATATAGGAAAGGAAGAATAAATGCATAATTCTTTTCTTTAAATTACCAATTAACAGAGAAAGGGGTTGGTGTCCCAGTTGCCACCAAGGGTGATCAAAGAAAATTTTGTTTTGTTTTTAGCTACCTATTCCTTTGAAGATTTTATCACAACTACGGCATACACTTCTTTAATTTTTCTAAGTCTCCAAGGAAGCCTATGAGAATACATAGCATATTTCAAGGATATATCTTTGAGAATGAGCAGAAATGAGTTTCCTGACAAAAATCCATTTGCCAAATTATATTTATAAACTTGGATGTCAATATTAATGAAAGAGTAAGATTTTTTCCTTTTTTTTTTTTTTTTTCTTGTAGCATCTGAAATCTTTGTAATAGTAAAGTAAGACCAGGCATAGTAGCCTGCATCTGTAATTCCAGCTACTTGGAAGTCTGAGGAAAGAGGATTGCAAGTTTGAGCCAGCCTGGGCATTTAGCAAGACTCTATCTCAAAATAAAAATTAAGGGCCAGGGATGTAGCTCAGTGATAAAGTGCCCCTGAACTCAATTCCCAATACCACAAAAAGGGGAAAACAGTAAGTTTTTTTCTTCTAGTATCCAAAATCTTTTTAATAACAGGTAGGTGTCTTATTAAAAGAAACTTTTTGGAAGGTTATCTAATGCAACCACCTACTTGATATTGAAACTCTCTGTTCAGAGTCTCACGCTCTGCCGCCGAAGTCTGGCTGGGCAAAATAGCCCGGGGGGGGGGGGGGGGGGGGGGG